TATACATAATGGGGACTAAGGGCTTGAGACACAAAGGCAATGCGCGCTTGGTTAATACAACAAGGGCAATGACMATAGAAGAACACAGTCTGCTATAATATATCTTATTTTTCTGTTGGATAATATACTAATAAAGTTCAATAACACCAATAATGATAAAAGGAATGGCAAGTTATCATATAATTTGATGAACCTTGAAATTTTAAAMCAAAATGAAAAAACAAACAAACAAAAACACATTTAAATATGGTTGTTTTTATGATAAGGGAGGATCTAAACAAAATATACTTATTTAATACGTTTTAAAGCAATACTTTACAGGGGTGTACATTACATATCATACACCAATTTCCGAAAAAACAATCTTTTTTTAAATATGCATGTTGATTCTTAAGATATAATGTACATGTATATCAAAGTATAGTGTCTCTTAAACGTATTATGATCATTGCATCTAATGATATAACGATTATTATATAACTACACTTTGTTACAATGTATAACATTATATAACATTAATTATAATTAATAATACTATCAAGAGATATGCTAAACAAGACATAGCGCTTCAATTTACACTGAATATGTAGCTGTTTATGACACAATTGGCAGTCTAATAACTATCTAACATGGCACCATTGCTTTGATGTACTATTTTGAGGTTTACAATAATATCATAATGGATTGTTTGCATCACATAATAATTTATGATTGTTAAAGAATCCTAACCAACCTCAATACAGAGCACGCTCGTGTTATTGTTTACAGATCGACCCAGATAGTTTTTTCTCTTCCAACCTAACACAGGCTACTCAAAAGCCTATATTCAAACTCAAATATCTCGCTCAGAATTTATTCAACCGAGCTCAAAAATACATCATTTGAAAGCTCATGTTTTATAGAATTTGTTAAAACTGTTCCATTTTTAGGGGTGATGTGCACTTTAAAATGCGATAAGCATACAATAAATTTTATTGATAGTACCTGTGAGGTACTTAGTTAAAGGTATTTCTGTCCAAACTGAGGATGGAAGACAATTTGCGCTCACTTTAAGAAATCATACAAACCACCATTTTCATGTCCACCTAAAATGGTGCTTCGGCTCGCAAGGTATGGCGGTTGGTTGTAAATCTTTAATTCAATTTGCAATTATTAATAAACTTAATAGAGAGTATTTACTATAGTAGTAATAATAAAACTGTCTAAAATTAGGTTCAGGTTCTGTAACAGTAATAAAGAGTCCAGTGGTGAAAAGCTTGTTATTCAGTGATCAACTGCAATAACAACTAAGTTAGTAAATAGTAATAATAACTTGAATTGATCACGAATATGGCAAATTAAGTATCTATAATGATTATAATTAATAACAAGAATACATTTAGAGCCACTGAGGGAATACCAATTCAGTGCAAAAGTTGAAAACAATAATAATAATGTACACATAAAATGTAAGTTAAATGTTTTGAAATGTTGAATGGATTTTACAAACAAATCAATTGTACTAGTACTAATTGAGAAAAACCAACAAGAAGGCAGTTCTGTGCTAAGAAAAACTTAMTTAGCTCAGATACAAAATGGGGRCAAAATCCAAAACCAAGCCAATTATACAAGCATTCATAGCAATGATAGAATTGCATTACATAATCAATATAAAATTGAGGGATTGAGGAAGAATCAAATGTTACAACAGTTATGAAGTGAAGTTAGGTGTACAAAAAGGGGGGAAATGGTAAAAGCTATAGATTGTGTCAAGAGGGGGTTTGGGGAAAACAAGGAGTTATGCAAGGTTGGGAAAGATGRGGAGAAAGAAAGAAAATGAGGAAGGAACAAACCTTTAGTATCTTGGCCTTTTGTTGTAAGCTGTCTCATACATGTTTCCAAATGTCTGATCACTGGCATCACGTTTGTTTACCTTTTGAATTATATTAAATATAGAA